ACATCATTTTAATTAATTTATATATTAAAAAATTTAAAATTCCTTAAATACCCTCTTCATCTTCCATCCCCTCTCATCTCTCTCTATCCTCAGATGTCTCCTCATCTTGCAACCCAATCAGCACCGATTATCCCTCATTGCTTCGATCATCTATTACCACTCCAATCACCATCTATTTCTTCCCCAAACCTCCTCTCTAATAGAACTCAAATCTGGTTCCTCGCACAATAATAATGACCAATAGATCTAATTTAAAAAATCAATTCCTCTGCAAATGTATATCAAATCTGTAAAGGAAAATGTAAAAAACACAACATCTTTTCAATCAACACCAACAGTAACTAGATCTTGAAATTCAAGGAATCAGAAGCCACACAAAACTCTAAATCTCATTCCAAGATAGCCAAGCATGACTGTAGCCAACAAAGAAACAGAAGAAAAAACCCAGGCGGATTCGACTCAAACCCAGATGTTGGGTTCGGAACCCAAGGCCTGGGTTCGAAGAACCCGCACCTGGGTTCCATCGAACCCAGGGCCTAGGTTCCATCAAACCTAGGCGTGTTGGGTTCAAGGAACCCAAGCATGGGTTCCTCGAATCTAGCACGCCTGGGTTCGCCTGGTTCCTCGACTCATGCTTGGGTTTGAGGAACCCAGGCGCTGGTGCTGGGTTCCTTTGAACCTAGTAGGGAGGGGAAGGAGAAAAGGAAAGAGAAGGAGAAAAAAAAAGGAAAGGAAAGAAAAAAGAAAGAAAGGAAATTTTATTTATTAAATTATATTTTTGGTGGCAAGTCACAATATTTTTATAATTAAAAATGCCACTTCACTTGTTTTGTTTCTAGGTAATATTTAATATTAATAAAAATTGAATTTGTTAATGAGAAATTTTGCCATGTCAGCACTTAACTGACAGAAGGACAAAATTGGTTCCAAAAATTTAAGTTCAACGATTTTTTTAGTACTTTTTGAAGTTCGGGGGTAAATTTAGTTCAAAAATGAAAGTTGAGGGACTGAATCGGGAATTTAACCTAATGCATACGCCACTTGCAAGCCTGAAACCGTTACCCTACGGGCGGGTCGTCAACCAAATCCTGCGTGGATATTCAGAAAGAAAAAAATGGTGAAATTACGAAAGGCGTGTCATTTTCAGACTAGTCCTTCCTCGTTAGTCAATCCTTCCTCTTTCACTCCATTTGCAGGAGGACCAAAGAAAAACAGGAAGAACAAAACCAGTGAATTGCGGGGAAAATCTGGTGTAATTGTGTGTTTTGCCGATGGACTTTTGGCAAAAGGCTATGGGCTTCGCCGAGGAAGCGGCGAAGCGGTCACAGGAGCTGACAAAGGAAGCGGCCAGGCGGTCGTCGGACTTGACGATTGGTTCGACGAAGCTAGGAGACATTGTGAGTCAGGCATCGAAGCGTTCTCAGGAGCTGACCAAGGAAGCGGCGAGGAGGTCGTCCGAGCTTACAATCGGCTCGACGAAGCTAGGGGACATCGTTACTGAGGCGTCGAAGCGGTCGAAGGAGATCGTGGTGGAGGCTTCAAAACGAGCCGAGCAGATCAGAGTTGAAGCGTCCAAGCGAGCGGATCTCATCAGGTCCTCCCTCTCTGACGGGATTCCCCCTGCGGATCCGCAGCTGGACCAAGAGAAAGATCTAAAGAAGTTCGGTGTTACGGAAGAATTGCGAGAGTTTATTAAGGGTATTACTGCGAGCACTTTTCAGGATTTTCCTCTTGAAGGTAATTTCTGATCGCCTTTCTCTCCCTAATGCAATTTTGTGCATTTTATTGGTAGCTGAGAAAGTAGAGGGAGGGGAATGTGAATTGAGAGTTTGCTAAGTCAATAATTTTATCGCTTAATTGGAAAAGTTGGGGAACATAAGGAATGAGTTAGGGATCTGAAACTTTCACTGCATTCAGGATAATGAAACAAATGTTTGGTTCTTTTTGAGCTAATTCAAGTAGATAGTTTCTTTTTATGAATTCATATTTCAACTTGGGGGTCGCAATATTCTGTTTTGATCTGTTAAGAATTTTAGTTTATCATTTGAATAGATTAGTTGTTTATCATAAAGGGTCTGCATAAAAAATCTCATAACTGTGTCATATTTTTTATTATCTTTTTATACTACATGCTCAGTATTTGAGAAACCAAAGCATTGATTTGCATGCTTCATCACATTGGATTGACTTGCTTTAATTTCTTTTTTTGTAAATTATTTTCAATATTGCTTCAAAAAAGTGTTTTGTGGAGTACTTCAGTTCAACAATGGAGTTTTCTCAAGTTTCATTCTGTTTCCCCTGGGAGTGGATCAAATATTTCTAATGCTTTTTTGAATATTAAGTCTGTTTCTACCCAAGATATTGTCCCTGACTTTAGATGGTTTTAGTATTTTAAAATTATTTGTATAGCTAGTTGATTAGATTATCTCTTTGATTGGCAGATGATTCACCAATGTCTGATGTTCCCACTGTCTCAAATGTTAGTCAGGACCTCACAGAGTGGCAAGTAAAACATGCCAGTCTTGTTCTTTCAACAGTCAAGGTAGCTCCTTTCATTTTACTCTGTTAACATGGTTCAATTACAATATCCATGTTTGGCATTCTTTATTTAAAATTTTGGTCCAATGATGACTTCTTATTTGTTGTATAATAAGTGATTGCAGTATAGAACATGTGATACTTATTGAACTATAGTGGCTCAAGACCTCAAGCCTTTTTCTTCTTCTCTTTTTTTTTTAAAAAAAAAAAAAATGAAATGTTCAGTGTACCGCAGGATAGTAGGAGCGCACTGTATTAGTATTTTCATCTTCTTTCTAGCTTCATCTTTTTACATTTTCTTATAGTTTTCAGCTTATTTCATTCTCACACAAATTTAATCCTATCCTGCCAAAAATTCTCCAAATTAATAAAAACTAAAATGGGAGATGGTATTTAGAGTAACTTAGGATGATTAGGAAGGAAGTTGTGGCAGGTCAGATGCTTTTAAGTTTTTAACCAAGAAAATGCAGAACAAAGAATGGAGAAATTATCATATATGAGAGCTGCATGATTAAAAAAGATACATGGCTCTCCATTGAACGCACAACATTATGTTGCATGAACCTTCAATTGATCCGATTGCATAAAACTTGAAAAACTGTTTGAATATGATCTATTTTTTGCTCCTTTTTCTGTTTTTGTTTTGACTCTTTGTTGGAGGAAAAATGTGACCGTGGTTGAAATCATATGTTCTTATTGATTGACGCCATCTTTCTCTGGTCTGAATTACTCGTGGAGATCTCCAAATAAGAGATTGAATGGTAGAATGTGGTCTCATTTCATATGAATCTTGAAAAAGATTTCATGTGTTTAGTACTTAAGGCATGATCTTTACATGCATGAGCATGTGCATGGCAAACATTTCTTTTAATACATCAGCTCCTAGTTGATGGTTGTATAATTTTTAATTTTCCCTTGATAAATCAACAACTTGCCTTTATGTACTTTTTCAGGAAATTTCGAAGTTGAGATATGAGTTGTGCCCCCGTGTTATGAAAGAAAGGAAGTTCTGGAGGATATACTTCATGCTAGTAAACAGTCATGTCATACCGTAAGGAACCTTTCATTTATTTTCAGTTTTTGTTTTATCAAAATCATGGTCGATGAGTATATAGCTCTAGAAATACAATTATTTAATTTATTATGTTGAATTTTTCTGATTTCTTTTAAATTGGTATTCTGAAATGTATAGACATTCATGCTTATATATAGTCATCAATGATAGATTACATAGATGTAATTCTACATTTGATCTGGATATCATTAAGGCACTTAATGCTATTTTCTTATTCTGATATTCTGTTATTTGGTTTCTAGTCCTCTACTGGTTCTTTACTTGCAATAAATTGGGCTAACATTTGGTTTCTTTTAGTTATGAGAAGCGATACATGGAAGAGAAGCAGAAATCTTCAGAACAAGTAAATGATAAAAATGTTGAGGAACCTTCATATGTTGCAATGAATTCTAAAACTGAGGCAAAGAATAAAACTTCAACCTCATCTACTGAGCAAGATTTGGATGTATTTCTTTTGGGTGGTGACAGTGATGAAGGAGGCCCTGGTACGTTCTTTTGTTTTTCTGTTTCTTTTTCAGAATAATAATGACTATTATCTCTGTGTCTGAGGCTTTGTCCTTAAAAACACTAGTCCTCTCACTTTCACTCACCTGCACACTTATACAGAGCAACACGTTTAGTCTGAATCTTCCCTCTCACAGATAAGAATCATAAGATTGTTTAAACCAGAAACAAGGATCTGTAAACTTATTGACTTCTTGCAACCAGAACATATTTTCATACTTTTTACGAGCCCTTTTGATCTACTAATCATCTACTTGGCCTTTCAGAGGATGATGTTGGTGATGGAAGCTTAGATGATGATTTTGACAAGATGGCAGATTTCTTGGTAAGAACAATCTCCTTACATACATCTTCTTCTTCTTCTTCTTCTTCTTCTTTTTTTTTTTTTTTTTTTGGGGTACCAGCTCATTAAAAGTGATGCGTCTGAATCTTGTTTTTTCATATCTTTTTCTGCTGGACTTATGTTGATCTATGAATTGGGCAAAGTAACCAAGTAATTGAACATTGGTAGTAAAAAATATTAGATATTCATATCCCTTAAATCAGAATTTTGCTGAAAGATATCTGACTCCATGTCCCCCAAATAAGATTTTTACTGAAGAAAAGGAAACAAAAGGAAAGTGGAAACCGTCTATTTTTCACTAAATATTTTGAAGGCAATTGTAATTGGTCATTTGGCTTCATTCTCTTGTATTTTTCAGAACAGCTACGCATCCCATTTGCATCTGATCTGTCTTGTCTCTTGCTTTTTCCTTTTCTTTTTCATGTTTTTCTTCCAATTTTATACTAGAATATTGACTATAACAGTGTCTACAAGACTCAGGCATCAGAAACATGGACTAAGAAAATACTGATTCTATCGCTGCTTGATTTTATTTCATCTGTAGCCTTTACCTGTTTCTTTAGTTGCAAGAATTTGAGGAAACACTGATCCTCACTTTACGCAAAAATCTCCTCCATCAAAATGTCAGCAGTAGATGCCCCGAAGTCCAATTTAATCACAAATGCTAATCCCATCTGATTAACCCCACCACTTTCTCAAAACCCTAGACCCAAACTTTCCTAGAAATCCTGCAACAAAAGCCCTCATTAATCTCTCTTCTCCCATTTGGTCAAATTTCGTACTTCATTTTCCCTTGAGCCTAGCAATAAGAATCTTTTTTCCTTTTGAGCGTTTTTATGCCATTAAGTTTGAAGGTGTTGAAAGTAGGGAGTCTTCTACAGAAAAAAATTGCTTTAACCATAGGGTAGTTAA